GCTCCGGTCCAGAACTTTTCAGGTTTTCTTTCGCTCAACAAAATTTTTGGGCGGATTGACTGCAGTGTAGGTGCGCGGATCCACCCATGAAGGTTTCAAGGGCCACCCACGAAACCCCACGAAGGTTTTCCTTTTCCACGAAGGTCCACGAAGGTTCTTTATGTCGCTAGTCAAGACGCCACGAAGGTCCACGAAGGTTTCCACGAAGGTCCACGAAGGTTTCGCCAGCCCCACGAAGGTCCACGAAGGCCCATGCCCATGAAGGCCCACGAAGGCCCACGAAGGTCCACGAAGGTCCTCGAAGGTTGCAGATTTAGTGGACCCGCAGGGTTTTCTGGATTGTTTGCGTTCAGGATGTTTTTGCAGGAACAGGGTGTCTGCAGAAGTTTTTCAACAAATTCGTGTTGGCCCTGCGCGGTGCTGGCTGCCGCTGCTTTGGTGGTGAGAACTAGCAATAATGCGCGGCTAGGTTTTGGTCATAGCCCTCTTGGGCGCAGTAACAACCAGGTGACCGGATGATGCATGTTGCGGCCCCCAGTAGGAATGGCCACATGATTTTACATACTGAGTCCTGATAGCTCAAAACCAGCGGATGTTCACAGCAGATATTGAAAACCGCAATGAACTCGCACACACTGGCAAGAGCTGAGAGTACCATAGACCTCCGAAGCAGAGCTCGTCGCTTCCTCTTCTTGAGATCCAGACGAAAAATCTGCTCCCAGATGTTGCCGAGAATGCCACAATGCATCCCAAAGCATTGAATAAGCAAAACAAGGCCACAGATCTTCAAGCAATTTTTATTGACATGACCAAATTCCGGTTGATGGTCTTCGACATTCAACCCAATCTTATCGGTCAGATTGCCCTGCAAAAAGAAATATTCTTGACGAAGCTCCGTAGTGGGAAAACCGATGGCAGCTATCAAATGGCACGCACCTGTTCCAGTGTCCCCCTTAGAGTCGTCAAAGGAGAAAAGGTCTTTGGAGGCTTGGTATCCTGTCAGCTGATTGAAAGTAGCGCCAGGTGTCCATACACTCCAAAACTGATGGCTCCAGGAATGTAAATCATAGATGATATTCCATCTCCCTTTGTCATCATCTAAACATGTAAAATGTCCGAAGAAATTCCTATGCATCATTTGCCAGCAAAATAAGCCTGCTCCCAGAAATCTCGCACCAACATCTGTCGTCCGCATTGAAAAGGCGCCAAGATGAGGGTGTATCAGAATTCCAGTAAGCTCTTGCTCAATCTCGCAGCTCTGACTTGCTATCCCAACTTGTTGAGTTCCTGTGAGTCCGGACCCGGAGGCTCGGATCTCCGTGGACTTCGCTCCCTTTCGTCGTCGATGCGAAATGTAGGCGCCTGAGATGGCTGGGCAGGACCTGTTCGTTCCACCTGTGCCAATCTCTTCTTTCGCAAATCTGATGGGCTGGGAAGAGCAGCTGCCTCGGAAGGCATGGGTCCATGTGCACCACTGCTGGTATATGCCTGAAACTGCGTTTGCAGTAAGGCCAGCGTCCTCGCTGTGTTTGCTTGCTCGTGCTGCGCTTTGGCCAGCTGTTCTCTCAGCTCCATATTTGTAGCTGCCTCCACATCCAAACCCTCCATGCTCGGTGAGGGTTTTTCCCGGAGAGCTGCTTCCGCATCGAACTCTTCGATCTTGTCTGCTGTCTTCTTGATCTCCACGTCGATGCCTTCTAAGTCCTTCTTGAACTTCTCGTGTTCTTGATCGTAGTGTCTTCTGAGCTCCTCTTTGTATGTATCCCAGGCCCGGGCCTTTTCGACCTTGGCCTTCTTCAGCCGTGACATCTTTTCGACCAACTTCTTCCTGATGTTGAGGTCTTTCTGCTGGGAGCGGAGCTCTTCCTTCTCGTCGTCCTCTGCACTCATGCCAACGATCTGTTGTACTGCCTTGAGCCCACCCTCCGCAGACTCTTTGTCTGTAGTGGACTTCATAGCTTCTTTCAAGGCCGACTTCATACCCTCCACCGATGGCTGCGAAGACGAGGAGGATCGCAAGGTATCGTATCCTGGAAAGAGGGACTTGTCCTCGTCTTTCTCTTTCTTCTTTTCGTTCTTCTTCTTTGGAGGTGTGCCCCGAAGGTTCCATGTCCGGGTCTTGCCACTGGACTTGCCGCCCAGTAGCCTTGCCATGACATCTTCTGTGCCAGCGACAAAGATCGTTGCCTTGTCCAGGTATGATGCCACCTTAGTATATGGTATGCCTTGGCAAATCTCCTCGACGAAAAATCGCCAGTCAGAACTGCCCGCTGTAGCTGCTTCCTGTTTCTCGCTCGAACTTTCCGCAGTCGCCTATGTGCGTTGGGAGATCGAGGATGCTTCGCCACCTTGTCAGTATACCAGTCCCTTGCAGAGTGGATGTACCGCAGCTATGGCACCACAAACCAAGGCTAGGAGCGGCAAGGCGCGCGTGGACGAACCGTATTAGGTCCTGGGGCTCAAAGCTAAAAGAAAGTCTCGAGCCCTGGACAGTCCCATGTTTAAAAACATAATTTTCTTTCCTTTTTCCATTTCCTCTTCCTTTCCTTTCCTTCTTTCATCTTCTTTCTTTCTTTCTTTCTTTCTTGTTTTCTCTCTCTCCTTCTCTTTCTCCGTGTCTCTGGCTGTTTATATTATATGTCTACTGCAAATGCAGAGTTGGATTCTCAAATCGTTCTCAACCCCCACTGTAAAGCACATAGACTACAGATTTTCAAATCCTGCGGCTTTGTCTTCAAAGATGAAGCGACACATCCCCCAACATCTTTGAGGTGCATCCCACTGGCCTGGTGAAGCCCGATGATCCCGATGCCAAGGTGAAGTTTTTGGCGGCTGAGGCCTTGCGTGGAGTGGGGGGCATCGTCCTGGATGCCAATGGCCAGCGCTTCTGCAACGAGCTGGGCCGCCGCGACTACGTCACCGGGGAGATGTGGAAGAACAAGCCACCCTTCCGCTTGTGCCTGAACCGCGCGGCTGCAGATGAGATCATTTGGCATGCCAAGCACTACACTGGACGTGGCGTGATGAAGTTCTACCCTTCTGGGGAAGACCTGGCCAAAGACATGGGCGTGCCTTTGCAGACTCTGGTGGACACTCACCAGAAACACTATGAGGCTGCCAAGAAGCAAGAGAAGGATCCCGATGGTGGCTCTTTCCCCGCCTACCCTTCAGGCAAAACCTGGGATGAGCCAAGTGGCAAGACGGGCAGTGGAAAGAAATTCTTCCACAACATCATTGACGGTTCCAAGGTGGCCACCGAGCCTTTTTACGTGGCAATTATTACTCCAGCACCTTGGTTCATTGAGGTTCCTTTTTTCCCGACCTATCAGGTGAGGGTTGTTAGATTTTTAGGAGGGGCGCCGCAACTCGTCCTCCTGGACCTCAACGGCAAAGGTCTGATCACAGCGGGCAGTCTGGGACCTCAACAGCAAGCGCCAGTTCCAGATTGCAGTGGGCACTCTCGGACCCCAGCGAATGCCCACACAAACAACACAACACACAACGCACAAGCACAACCACAAACACACAACACACACAGCCAACAACACACACCACAAACATACAACCATAACACTACACACAACCATACACATACAACCACAACACAGCCACAAAAGCACACTCACAACACAACCACAAAAGCACACACACAACCAACAAAACACAGCCACAAGCACACAACCAACAACACACAACCAACAACACACAACCACAAACACAATGTTTGAGCCCCGTTGATAACAAACTCATATAGCTTGCCCAACAATACAACCACCTTCACTTCATGACTTGACAAGCGCCGGGCCCGGCGCCTTGGCGCCTTGGCAATATTCGAAATCACAGTGCGTCCTCTAAAAAAGGGCTTTGCCTTCATTTCTGCCCGCAACCACAGCCACAACCACCACAACCACCATAACCACCACAACCACAGCCACTACAACTACAACCGCTACAGCCACAACCACAGCCACAACCACCACAACCGCAGCCACAACAACTCCAACCACAACAACTACAACCACTACAACCACAACACACAACCACAACCCCCACCACCACAACACAACGCAACGCAACGCAACGCAACACAAAACAGGTGTCACAGGGCCGCACTTTGGACAGAATGCCAGCTGTAGATCCTGGCGGCACCCTGGTGCGAACTCCCGAACACTAAAACAACAACCCCAAACCCAAGGACCCACAAGCAAAATCGAGAACCACAAAGCCCCCCACAACGGCAACGATTGAATTGTCATGGTGGGGACCACTCGAAGTAACGTAATGAAGGCCTACCGCATTCACATCCCAGTCTCTCAAATTTCTCGGAATGCAACCCAAAAGAAAAGAACTGACCAAGCTGAGGTCATTCATTACTGTATGGGTGGCTTGGAATGCACGGTGGATGCTGAGTGCTTCGACAAGAGTGGTAAGGTCATTCCAGGACTCTATGTGGCGGGCGAGGCAGCTGGTGGCATCCATGGCAACAATCGCTTGGGTGGCAACTCGTTGTTGGATTGCGTGGTCTTTGGGCGTGTGGCCGGCAAGGCAGCCTGCAAACTCACCTTTGGGAAGGACGAGAAGTTCAAGCCCTGCCCGACACCTGGAGAGATCAAAGAGTTGACCAAGTGAGCCAAGCTAGCCTGACCCTGTGAGGCAGATTTTTTGTCGACATCCTGTCGACGTCCATTTCATTCAACTGCGAAGACCACGTGCGATGCCGCAGGAAAACCAAAACAATCACAATGAATCACCGACAACTTTATACATTAGTCTCTCTCTCTCTCTCTCTATACATATATGTTAAACAGGTAAGCAAATGCATCATTGCATTTTGCACGCGCACACAGGGAACCACACACACACACATATAGTGTATTTATACACACGCGCGCATATGTGAACATACAGTACTGTGCACTTTTTGTGAGATATGCCTGGCAGTCCTTAGGGGGATGTATGATAGACGATCGGCCGCTTTTGTGCATGTGCTTTGCACGCAGGAGGGTGCCGACAGCTGCGCTGCCTTGTTTGGTGAATGTGAGGTGCATAGCAATAGGCACGCCTGTTGACCATGCTGTCCCACTTCCATTTCTTGTTGGAGGGACGCTAGCCGGAATAGCCAGCGTCTCACACAAGGGTTCTCCTGCGTTTGGGACCGCCAGGCATCAAAAGCATCCTGCAATAATGACTTTTTGAACACGGTTGGTATCCTTTTCTCCCGGCTTCATCGAAGGTGCTTTGGTCGGGCGAGGTGGTTCGCGACGTGGTCACCCCATCGCCGTACCGGCGGCCAATGGACTGGGCATGACTGGCTTGGGCCAATGGTCGCTGAGACCGGGAAGGAGATTGATCCAACGGAAGGCCGCGACCACTGAGAGTCTTTCACTAGGTGAGCGAGATGAGGTGCTCTCCTTGCCGCCAACTTTCTGGGATAGCGTTGCAGAGCTTGAGTGGTGCGCAGTGTACATAAATCTGGCCAGAAGGCCTGACAGAAAAGAGACTGGGCAAGGACTTCAGTTTTTCCCAAATTCGCTCTGACTCTGGAGGTTCTACACCTGTAGCGGCACCCAACCTCCTCAACTTCCTACCAAACTTGCAACGCAGAGTGATGTTCATGATATGTTTCCTTGATTTTCATTCTCGTTTACTCCCACATCATTCCCAGAAAGCATGCTTTTTAAATTTGAAGGAGCAGTTTGTCTTTCTTGTCAACACCTTCCACTGGTCCAATATCTCAGGCGAAGCTGCTGGAAAAGCTGCAGCACTTCAGCCCACAGCTCTGTCACCAGATCCGCCGCTTAGAGGCCATCGACGGGCAGCAGCTGACGTTGCGGCATCCCGCGGTGGCCCTAATCGTGGACGACGCCGCGGTGGACCGGGCGAGACACGCTCGAAGGCGTGGAGCCTACACCATCGTGCACAGCGAGGCGCGTTCGGGGGCCTGGGCATGGCGCCAGTGACAAGTGATGACTGTAGTGAGTGTGAGGTAGCAGGTGTGACAAGTGTGTCAGCACCAGATGGCAACATATGGAACACTTACAGAATCCGACCAGGAAAGGCAGAATGAAAGAAAGTGTGGAGTTTGTGGAGCTGCCAGGGGCGCTTGCTCCATTTCGATAACCACCTCACCCTGGGTGGCATCGCTTGTGCGATGTCCCACCGCTTGGCCTTGGAAGCAGTGGTGAAGCATCCGACGGCCCAGTGGGGCATCATTTTGGAGGATGACATTGCCGCCTTGGTGCCTAAGGCATGGACTTAGTATGAGTTAGTCAAAAGATGTTCAATATTAATAAAAGTGACCCACCACCAGATGGTGGCGAACCCCCATCTCAAGTAGTTGGAAGGTCGCTAAACAGTGAACAGCAGGCTCTCAGCATGTGAGCCTGTCAGATTTTGAGACGTTGACGGCAAAAAGAATTGGTGCTCTTGTGAAGGCAGAGGAAGTCATCCAGAAAGCGATCGAACAACTGCCAGAGGATTGGGACGCGCTGTTCCTAGGATATCATGATGATGCTGGCCGTGCACACCCCGGAGCCTTTGAGCAGCCGGCTGGAGAGCCCATCGAGGCTGCTTGGTTTCCATACTTAAATCTTCTTAAACATTTCTTAACCATCTAGATCTGCCATGAGGATCCATGAGGCCAACCATTTTTGGAACTCTTTCGACCCGACCTTGGCAATGCCGCAACGCCTCCTTCGAGGTCTCGGTGCGGCCGATGCGGGAGCCCTGCTTTGGGCTCTTCGCCTGGGTGGTGCGACGGCCAGCGGCCGAGGCCCTTTTGCAGCATTTGTTCCCCATTGGCGGGCAGGTGCCAAGAAGTCCTCGAGAGCGATGATGTTTGTGTTGTGGATTTGTGAGAGGTGGTGATTTCGAGGGTGCAAGGTTCTTCTTATTACAAAATTACACATATAATCACATATAGTTGTATAGTCATAATAGTCAATAGTTATGTAATTTTTTGAGTCGTGTCAAGTCTCATGTCAAGGTGATGACCTGTCAAGGTGATGACCTGTCAAGGTGATGACCTGTCACTGTGATCGCACATTATCGCAAGCAACAATTGAATAATGACAAGCAACTCGCACCGATCCATTGATCGGCAATTTCAATGTGCACTGACAGACCAATGCACCTACTGTAATATAGAATATAGATTGCAGGTCAATTTCTTACCCGGGTAAGTACATAGTACACGCCGGCGTACCACCGTAACAGCGTTTTGAGCATAGTGGGGTGCCGGCATGTTCCTTGTACGTATACCCTTTGTTGACACATACGAGCATGTAGGCGTATCAGCGGGTACTAGGTGGTGGCGTATCGGTGTAGAACGATTCACAGACACGGTTTCGCACAGTGATCTTCGCTTGTTCGAGATATGTTGTCTAACATGTTGAAGTGTCATTGTTTCCTTTTTGCCTGTGCCCAACCGTGCCCATGTGCAACTTTAGGAGGGGATCTCGTGACAGAAGCTAGCCGAAATGTCGAAAAATTGAATTTTGTGAACTCTCTCAGATTTGCTTCTTCCGGTTGTGAGTCGCTCTGACTCCTGGATGACGCCAGGTTGACCATGCCATCTCATCTTGGCTGGTCCAAGAGCGTGGACGCTGCTATCAAGTGGAGCCAGGCAAGCGGGAGCACCGGAGTCACCCTGAAACGTGGTAGAGTTGTGCAGAGGGTTGCGACAGATTGGTAGGGATGGTTATCATGATCAACACCAAGAGATCCAACCAGGAATAGAGCCACGTTTTAGCACCGGTTTTGGATGGTTTTGGCGATGGAGGATGTCATTTTGGCATGTGCATGATGTTCTGTGGCATTTTGCCTGGTGATGTGGTCATCATTGGGGTTCGTTCCAATTGACATGGAGATCCTTTCCGCAGTCCGTGTTGGAATGGACCAAGCATTCAATGCGCCCCAGGTAGCATGGTCTTCTTCAGCCCAAAGAGCGAAGAGGCTGAGGATTCTGACATCCAAACCATGGCCACGGCTGCTTTGCTCGCAGTATCACCAGCTCTGAACGGCACATGTTCGACTTTTTTTTTCCTCTGAGGCATCTGAACCTGAAACTTCCAAATTCATGCTTGACGGTGTCTTCAGGTTTTTTTGGGACCACCGAAACATTCCCGGGGGTTGCCGGAAAGGTCGGGTCAGTTGATGAGCACTGGTTCACACATGATCGGTCTTGACTCACCCCATTGGTCTGTTTGGGGACTTGGGACCTGTCCCATTGCAGAGCCTTCCTAAGAATCGTGAAACCTCAAAGTAGGCATGTTTGGAGGTTGCAAACCTGTGCCATGTAAAGTCAGAACGTGCCATCGAAGGTTCCAATTGATGAGTGTTTGTTGTTGGCGCCGGTTTGCCTTTGCACACACACACATATTTACATTTCATGATATTCGCACATATGGTGTCGTATATGGATACTTTCACCCATACAACCGCAGCAGCACTAGCACGGAGGTTGATGCCTTCATGAACAAGTTTGAGTCCTGGCAGGCTTACTACGAGCCTTGCCAACCAACACGGACATTGAAGAGTCTGAGGGATATTTGTTCGACATTCAAAGTTGATAGAGCTAAAAGATGGACATGTATGTAACAGGGTACAAGCTACTGCCTGGAGGGTGTGGCTGGTCGAGATGTTAGTTGATGGCAGAGTGCCTTATGGCAGAGTGCCTTCGGGCATTCCTCGAGCAGTTTTGTTCATGACCCAATGGTTCTGCTTTGTGAATTCGAGGAACATGTCTGGGGGATGGATTCCATCATGGAGGGCTACCTCTTGGGCGACAGCGAGGATGAGGCCGCCGTGGTCGAGATGTAGAGATGTGAAGAACACGCACACTGTTTTGTGTGTCCACACAGTTTGGCCAAGTGCCCTAAAAGGACCCGACCAAAGGTCAATACTTAGTTGGGGTCTGTATGTTATGCCTTCGATTCGACGTGCCAGGACTGGGAGGACTGGCTGCAGGACGAGTTTCAGATGTCGCTTGATTTGACAGTTGAGGTTGCAAGGGGCAACAGGCGATCTTCTCCAGCAGGCCACGAAGAGTTACGACTAAGGCCACTTTCAGGCATCACGTCACCTCCCTGTGATGTGCCGGCGCCTCAGGGAGAGCGTGGTTCGCGGTGACACCGAGCGTCCTCGGTGTCGACCCACCGCCTGAGGCCGCCGCCCGAGTGCTATGGCAGCGAGGCCTAGGTCTAGGTTGTCGAGCCGGGCAATGAAAAAAGCGGTCCGCTGGGACGCGGAGTGGAAAAGCTCGTGTGGGTGGATGGGATGTTGGAAGCCCATGCATGATTTTTGAAGACATTCTTTTGATCCAAGGAGTTGGTTGAAAAGCCAATGGTGCTTGATTTGCGGCAAAGCTTCCGCCAATCCTTGAGCGCCAAGGTTCAAGAGCTTCAGAAAGGATTAAAATCAGCGTGGCTTGTTGGCATTGGACGTTCAGCGGATCTTCCATGTTTGTTGTGCCATTTGGCAACAGCCTCAAACCTGGGCATGTGCTGTGGCAAGAGCACATCCAAATCCGAGCGAACCGTATAGTCATGTGTAAACAGAAGTGCGCGCACGTTGTGGCGTCCCTTCATTTGCCATGTACCGTCGTTTTCGGCACTTCAACTCTCCTTCAACATCTTCACCATCTGCCCCCCGAGAAGAGGAAAGTATGTCGAACCACTTCGCGTTTGGCTCTGGTCGCTTCTCTTCTCTGGCGGATCCGACCGAGGCAGAAGTCCTTCGCCGCCGTGGAGGACCTGCAGCAGGAGGTCGCGTGACCGACGATCGCAGCAGCCTTTCGGACCCGCGCGGACTGGAGTTCAGATGGAATTCACCAAGAGTTCAGACGACATGAGTCCTTTAAAATAAATAAGCAGTGGTCAAAAGCTGGCCATGTGTGTGGTACACCATGAGTGAGAGGAAAGGGTCGGAGATCTTCGTATCCTTCGGAGATCTTCAAAAGTTTATTGCAACTTTACCGTCTGCAGATCTCGGTCACGTCGGTCACTACTTTCTAGATGTCCTCCTGCGGTTTGCCAGGCCATGCGGGTGAAAGATATGTTTCAAACGAAGGAGTGACACATTTGTCATTTATCACGAAAGCTAGCCTTAGCTAGCTGGAGTTGCTCTTGCTTTAGCAAGTTAAGTGACGGGGTGGACGCACCTCAGAAACCTCAAATAATTGATTAAATCAATCTTATGGACCCCCCCCCCCCCGCGGTTCGACTCCCCCCTGCGCGCGGTGAGCGGGACCACCAAGCAGCTGCAGCACACCAAGCATCTGCAGCGCCCAGCGCAGCAGCGGCAGCAGCAGCAGCAGCACCAGCAGCAGCAGCAGACCACCCAGCGGCAGCAGCAGCAGCAGCAGCATACCCAACGCCGCGGCAGCAGCAGCCGCAGCAGACCACCCAGCGCCAGCAGCAGCAGCAGCAGACGACCCGGCGCCTGCAGAGCACCCAGCGCAGCAGCGCCCAGCGCAGCAGCGGCAGCAGCAGCACCAGCAGCAGCAGCACCAGCAGACCACCGGAAGCCCGGCTAGCTTTCGTTCACCCCCTCTGGCCTCAAGTCTGTCATGCTGCTGGACCATGAAGCGTGGGGGGCAAAGAGGTGAGCAAAGAGGTCCTTTGAAGGTCCAGATCTGTGCATGGTGCCTGTGTTTTGGATTGGTTTCTTTGTCAAGACATGTCAAGACCAGTGAATCCAAATGACTTTTGGACTGTTGGGCGGGGGTCAAGGATTGTCAAACCTTTTCCGATTTCAGAATGGGTCAATGAGTCCGATGAGTCCCGAATCTTTGGTTCCTCAACTCCTTCAGATTGGTGTGATCCACCGGATCCGACTCCAACAACGAACCCCCCCAACAAACCCCAGCCCGCTCGCTCAGCCCGCCAAGCGGGCGAGATGCGCCGTCGGTGCTGGCGTGGCCAGGTGGCGCTCATGAACGCCGACGTGGCCAGTCCCAAATCCTCGGACTCCACTGGCTCCAGAAGAGGGGTCATGTTCCGGCAACGCGAGAGCGCCCCTAGACATTCAATAGTCTGGCATTAAAGGGGGAGTGTGACTCTAGCATCAGAGTTCACACTCCTCTTTGCTAGCAGGTGCTAGGAAAGGTGTCTCTGAGATGAGTGTGACTTTTTGGAACTTCAGGTTGTTGAGATTGCTGGCCATTTTTTGGGACCTGACCTGTGTCTTCTTCGTGCCTCCAACCACCCGAATCCATACTTGTGTGTCTTGCGTGCGACTGTCCAGTCCAGTCCTGACTGGCGCTTAGATTGTGGAGATCGACGGGCGCCTTGCGAATGGGAACAGCTTTGGCGTGAAGCTTAGTCTTCGCTTCCCGGCGCCCGTGGCGTGTGGCAGCGATGCAGCGATTGGAGTCGCATACGGCATACACACATCCAGGGAATTTGTCAGATAAATGGCGAACACATGCTGGTTCTGCCAGTATGGCGAAGAACCATTCCAAGGCACACAGCGGTCTGAGTTGGACGTTTGGGTTTCGAGGGAGCCTCCCTGTGGGACAGTGGGACAGCTGGCTCTCCACTCCCATGCTCCACGCCAAAGCTATAGCAACCCTTGATGTAAGATGATATATCATTAGCAAGACATGCCGGCTGGTGCGACTCCCAGGGAATGAGGCCGGCTGATCTTCGGAATGGACCCAGCTGGCGCTTCATTCCTTACGAGTCGCACCGGACGTCAGCATGTGCTGAGGTGATGAGCCCGCTTCTAGCTCCTTGGGCTGCAATGGCTTCCAGCTCTGGGTTGAAAAAGAACATCAAAACTGGCGCTGATTTGGGGAATGGACTGGACCTGCGCCATGGACTGGAAATGTTTTCCACAGAGCCAAATCATCGTCGACCTGTTTTTCTGAATTTCTCGTCCGAAGAGGCCGCTCCGAAAAACCGTCCAAACATCGGCAGGAAAGGTAAAGTCCCGAAAGCCCACGGGGTATGTGGCGCAGACGGCCAAAGCGGTGCTGAGCTGAGAGCGGGGAACAAATAGCGGATGAAGACATGCCTTCTTCAGATCTACCCTCCGTGAAACAAGCATGGAACATGGATAACAATGGATGAACATGGTGGAAAGACACTTTTCCGCTACATACAGGGGATTGTGTGCACTTCCATGATTGTTTCAAGGAGTGTGCCTGTCCAAGAGCCACGACTTGCAAGGATGTACTCGTGAGTCAATGATGGTCAATTGCATCGTGTTGCAGTTTATCGACCCTCGCGGACATCGCAGATTGATGCACATTAAAGGCGGTGGGCTTCGAGGAATACGACGAAGATGTAGAAGAAGTGGAGGTGGGACGGTGGGACACCACTTTTTGGCTTGAACATCTTGAAACCTATTTTATAACATTCTACAACTCTGAGTGAATTTCGGGAGTGCAAGACGCCAACATTTGGGCCGCCTCGGTGTTAAGTCTCGGCTTGCTCCGAGCCGAGACTGGTCGCCGCGCAGGTGGAGAAGACCCCGAAGCGGAAAGTCCATGGGCGTACGCCCACGGCCTTTGTTCCCAAGAAGGGCGCCAGTCCCGATGTGTGGAGCCACAGTACATGGAAAATCAGATGAACCTCAGATGAACGCAGATCCGTGCGCGAGCCATGCATCAACATCCTCCAAAGATGGACCTGTTGTGATCTTTGCCACAGGTAGACTTTGACGATGATGCCGAGGACATCGAAGTGGAAGAGGACCTCGGACCCAGGGCTATGGTGACCATGAAAATCCATGAGCCACGATACAAGTAGTTCCCGGGCAAGCCGGCGGCGGAAGTTTCCAAAAGAATAGACCTACAGGAAATGGGCATGTGGCAGGCTGATTCGCCGAGCTGCGATGTTCTTTGACAAAACAAGTTGGAACCGACCAATGGAGCAAAAGCGAAGCAACCACCGTCAACTGTCTCGCGTTTTGCAAAATACAGAATAGAGATGGCTCAGCCGCGTACTAAAGTTGTACTACAAAGTCGCCAGTTCTCAGCTTCCAG